GAAAATAGATTGTCAAAGAAAGACCTACCCAAAAAAACAAAACAAATAGGTGGGGCCGTGTTAAGTATGTACCTTATCAATTCCTACTAAGCCATACAATGACTTATCAATGTCCTTCGATTGTACTTCTTCTGAAACAAAAACAGCAACAGCTGCACCTATTTCAGATGGCCGGAATTTCAAGAATTCAATACCTGCATTCAATTCCCAACCAAGAATAAAAAAAAAATTGAAATTAAACATTACATTATTTCATTTCATTTATTATGGACTGAAGTTGAAATACTGAGCGTTAAGTTATTAGATTTCATAAAATGTGTTTGAGACCTTCGATTGTGCTTATGATGACATCAAGAGACCGATTAATTATCGTCTTCCATGATGGACCTTCGCCGTTATTCATCTTTCTAAGATAAAAGTCGACAAAATTGAAAGGCGTATAAGCTTTAATCTTCCAATCCAAGCGGTTCAGAATCAAAAATTCCATCCTTTGTATCGTTTTTCCTTCGAACAAGAATTTGGGTTCCCCTGCCTGTTTCATTAGTAGATATTTATTTATTTTTTTTTTAAAAAAATCTAACAAAAAAAAAAAAGTGCCAGTGTGATTGATAAAAAAACATTTTAAATTTAATTAATTTGATTGTACCTGAAAGGCCAGAGTAGTAGGAACATTAACCTCCTCAATTTTGGCTGCCAGTGATAAACAGGCCACAGAGATCAACTGAGTCACCCATTTTCTATCTCCCTATTAAGGCCAAACATTAAATTAGAAAAAAAGTAATGAAAAACAGATTTGTCGACAAAGACTGAGGAAAATCTGCATTCAAACACAACAGTACAAAATGACATTCAAAAGAAAAGATAAGCAAAAGAGTATCTATTTACCCCTCCCAATGAACAAATGGGGAATTCATAAACCGATAGAAATCGGTCGAAATAAGTCATAGCAGTGTACAGGCACGTCTCGCCATAGTTATGGTGTGCACAAGCCTGTAAAGCATCGACATCGAATAAAGTAAGTTATTACCAGTCCTGTAAAAATCAAACTAGGCCAAATTTTATGGTGTGTTTTCAATTTAGAACAAGGGAATAGGTGTTTGAAACAAATGCGTGATACATTTCAACTTAATTGCCGAGAAATCATATACTTTAGTATGTTTTAGGATGATGTATAAAAAAAAATTCAGGTAATCCAATGAACATTTGATTCAAAAAGAAGAAAAAAAAAAGACCTTTTTTAGNACTTATGAGAAAATTAATCTCCCAAAAGTAACATTGATTACAAAAAATGAAGACAAAAACGCAACAAAACAAAGGAACCCATTTATTGCAAAACAAACCAACAACCCAAGAAAGTGAAAAAAATAAAAGTAGAAAATTAAACCTTTAACATCCAATGAAGAGCCCATTTTCTGAAGCTAACATCCAAATCACCAGTCTTGAGTCTATCCAAATAATCATCCCTGGGCAAGTGCTCCCTCTCTCTCTCAACCATCCACCATATGCACTGCTCACTCAAACATGGCAGATTAAGAGACACCTCCGAATCTCCACCGTTGGATCGACAGCTCTGATCGCTGAAAGGCTGGGCTTGGACAAGATCATCGTCATCGTCCAAGAAAAAGCCTTTGGTTTCTTCATTACAGAGAAGGTCCGATGCCGAGCAGTCAAAGCTGTTGTTGTAATCAGCCATTGGGAAAGAAAGAAAGAGAAAGAAAAAGGTCCCCCTCAATTTGCTTTGCTCTGAAGATGTCAAAATCTCATAAAGATGGGATTTTTATGGACTTTTATTATATTTATTTAGCATGCTAAAAAATAGGCATTGTACATCTGCCTATCTGCTAGCTGGCCCAGAGAGAGAGAGAGAGAAGGCAGTGAAAGTGAGGAAATTGGGACTTGGGAGTGTATATATAAATGGAGAAATCTTTAATTTCTTTTGTGTGGAGAGAGAGAGAGAGTAGGGAGAGAGACTATCTGCAGCAGGGAGCTTTATATAGGAAAATGAAGAGCATTTTGTAATTTGATGTGGGGTTGGGGAGAGATGATTGTTGAGTTTTTTCATTCCTTGGGTGTATAAAATTAAAATATTATATATATATATATATATATATATCATCAAGGACAAATTTATTATTCTATCTTTATAACTAAATATTTTCTCACTAGGGAGACGAATGTATTCCATTAAGATTTCAAATGATATTTTAAAATTTTTTAAGATTTTCAGAGTTTGAAGAATTTGTGAAATCTTAAGTCTTGTGGTGAGATTTGAACGAGATTTCATATAAGGTTTTTCTTTACTAATCCCACCAAATTTTAAAAAGTCTTAACAAATTCTAGTCTCAAAATAGAATCTAAATCATCTGAGGCCACTAGTTTTTCTAGAGTCGAACGAAGATTGAAGAGATTTTTTTTATTAGTTGCCAAAAGATAAGTTAATTAAAATCAGTTCAGAGGACATCAGACTGAGCGAAAAGGAATAAAAGAAACCTTTTGGTAAAATTGGGATAGAAAGGCGAGCCTAACAGGATTGAAGAGGACTGTGGGGCAAATTTGAAAACTCCAGCAATCCGTGGAGAATCGTGAGTTGGGGCCAAACTATTTTCAGTACATTTTTTTGAACAGAGAAGATATGAAGAAAGTGGAGCTGGGAACAAATTGGACTTTTGATAACCAGTATCTATTTCTCCACATCTGGGAAGACGGATTGAACGGAAAGCATCCCAGCTTTGATGAGATGATATTTGGGTGCAGGTATTTAATGTGCCCTTCAACGGGCTTTGGGCTGATGTAGGTCTTAAAATAAGAAGGGTATTCAAAGGACCAAAACTATAGAAATAGCAAAAACAGGAGGATCGGGGGAAGGTTTATTAGGTTACTAGTGACAGTGAATTTAGGTAGATGTGAAAGCATTAAGTTGGGTGACACAACTGGTAGTGGTATTAGTTTGAAATATGAAAAACTAGTGAATCTTCGGTACTTCTGTTGAAAGATAGGGCACTTGGATTGATATGGGATAACCATACTAGGAGACAAAAAAAAATCGGGCCACTCATCAGGTCGAACAGAGAATGAGGACTTCACAGGTCAAAGGATCCCCATGTCGAAGAAGACGACAAGGATGCATAAGATACCCAGATGCATATTTCCCTGGCGTCAACCTCGGAGCGAATAAGGGCCCTCAAATGGCCTGATTGAAATTCGACCTGAAGGATCTGATCGAAGGATCGACCATATGGGTGTGACAGCAAAGCTAAACATTGGTGGTACTAGACATGGCCAAAAGGTGGGCCGAAGGGTTGGGTTACCTCGACCCTGAATCGGCCCGGCCCAGCTCGGCTTTGGGCCCGCCTTAATAAAAAAAAACAAAAAGAACCTGTTTGTTTTCGGGCCGGGCCGGCCCGGCGAGCCATTGTCGTAAAAAAGAAGGCCCTGGACCGGTCCGGTTGAAATCAGAGCCGGGCCCGGACCCGTGGTCACGGGTTTGACCGGGCCGGGTCCGGGCTGGGTCGGCGAATCAGGTGACCTGTGGTCATGTCTAGGTGGTACTCTACCTCGAGGATATGAAATTGATAATTTTAAAGTTGGGTTTGAAATTGAGGATGAAAATTGATAATTTTCCTGATGAGTGTTGTCATTCATTTAGGAAAGGATGAAAATCTCGATAAGAAAGTGAAAGAAATAAATGAGTCCACTAATCAGCCTCAAAATTTAACCGATGGAAGTTATCTTCCAAAATCGAAAAACTAGATATAAGCATATAATGTGAAAAAACTAGAAAACTAAGAACATGAACCTTAGGATACTACTGATTTTGCATCTTTCACGTTTGTAGAGAAAGCTAAACTGAGACCTAAAGGAACATTTTCCTTGCCTTTCCGAGACTTTGTAACCCATTTGCACCTTTTTTCATGGGTTAGGCCCAAAATATTCTGGTCAGACAAACAACATGCATAAATTCACTTTTCAACACGAAGCATATATCCCATGTCACGTGACTCGTGTATATATAATCAGCCTTAATTCCATACTCCTCAATTATGTAGTGCTGTTATTATACTTTCGAAATTATTCAATATAGTAATTACTAATTACTATACATGCATGGACAGGTGACCAAGTGGTCTTCCCATAAACCATAAGTGCTCATTTTTAATCCATGACTCGACTATCGAAACAAATTAAAATCATTTATCTTTAAATTGTTTATTTAACTTAATTCAAAGTCTAATCAAGGTTAGCATTTGCCCATTGATATGTTTATATTTGCTCATTAATTGATTGGGATTTGGATACTATCCTACAGTCTCCATGAGTGAAAACTGCAAATGGTATATTTAGACAAATGTTACCTCAAATGAGTAATCTGAAAGATTATGATACGTAACCTTAAGCTAAATTCTTGAACCTTTT